GCAGCCACGCAGAGCTTTTCCTCCTGGGTGCTGTTGTTAATAATTGACACCTGGGAGATCCTGTTTTTAATGGTAACTGTTCTTAAAAAAAAAAAAAAAAAAGTCTTTATTGGTTTTAGAGAGAGAGGGAGAGGGAGAGAGAGATAGAGACATCGATGAGAGAGAACACTGATTGGCCGCCTCCTGCATGCCCCCACTGGGGATCGGGCCCACAACCTGGGCATGTGCCCTGACCGGGAATCGAACCAGCTACCTCTTGGAGCATGCTGGACTCTCAACCACTGAGCCACAACGGCTGGGCACTTCTGGGAGATCCTTTGTGCCTTTATATATAATCAGCAACACAGATTCCTGTGGCACACTTCGGAATTTGGTTACAGTGGGCCTCCTCATATAAAGCCCCTCAGTTAGTCTTTAAAACCGCCTGTACAATGGGCATCACGGCGGCATTTCAAATATTACTACGAGAAAACTGACCTTGAGCGAAGTCACCCTTGGACCAGGGAGCACCGCGCGGGCGCCACCCAGCTCCTGACTGGGAGCCAGCTGTGTGCCCGGATCTCCGCCCGACCGCTGCATCGCCCATCTTGAGTACTTGGCTTCACAGGCCGTATTTTAGTCCCAGCCTGTGTGGGCTCATGAATAAATTTTCTGCATCCACCTAATGAATTGCTCAGAGCAAAACCTACTTGTTTGAAAACCCTCCAGAGCTGACTTGATGCCGACCTTCCCCAGCTCAGCCGCAGTGCCCATCCTGGAGCAGGCAGCAGAGACCTCGCCCCTGCGGCCCTCAGGTGGCCCTGACCCTGGTCTACACCACTGCGTCAGAGCTTAATCGGTACTGCTGACAAGGAAGCTAGGGAGGGGGGTGCATCACTTACCCTCTTGCTTTCAGTCTGTACTCTGCTGTCTTCCAGGGAAAAAAGTAACCAGAGAGCCCAGCGGTGTGGCTCAGTGGTTGAGTGTCAACCCTGCACCAAGAGGCTGCCAGTTCAATTCCCGGTCAGGACACATGCCCAGGTTGTGAGCCCGATTCCCAGTGGGGGGCATGCCGAAGGTGGCCGATCAATGTTTTCTCTCATCGATGTTTCTATCTCTCCCTCTCCCTTCCTCTCTCTCTCAAGTCAATAAAGAAAACAATTTTAAAATAAATACATTAAATTAAATTAAAAAAAACCAGAGGACAAACATATCTTTGAAAGGAAAGCCAACAGTGAGACTCAGGTTTTGAGAAATCAGCTCTCTTACTGTCAATCACATTGTGTTTGCAGGGAGGACTGTGATGTCCATATGAATTGGGGGGAGCACTTAGGAGCTCTTAGTGGTCCTTTTTATCTTTTTATATTACATATATCAAGAAGTGCCACCCAGCTGGTGTGGCTCAGTGGTTGAGCATCGACCCATGCACCAAGAGGTTGCCGGTTCAATTCCTGGTCAGGCACATGCCCAGATTGTGGGCCCGATGCCCAGTGGGGGGCATGCAGGAGGCGGCCAATCAATGTTCTCTCTCATCAATGTTTCTATCTCTTTCTCCCTCTCACTTCCTCTCTCTCTAAAATCAATAAAGAAAAAAAAATTAAAAAGGAGTGCCAATAGTTGAATTATTAAAACTTCAATCTACTCTCAGGGCTCAGAGGCGAGATAGGGGATGTCAGTGGCTTCAGGGTGACTCGTGTGTCTGGCAGAGTTCTCCTTTCCATCTCGCCAGCCATAGAGTATGGTTTGGCAAAGTGAGGCAGTGACTAAGAGGATATGTAAGTCAATGAATGACTGTGTAAACTATGAGCTGAATGGATGTACTGATAGGGAAATCTGTGTTCCCTGGGAGGGGAGACCAGATGCTATGATTGAATGATGCCATGTGGATCACTTTTGAAATCAGACACACTGGACACAGTGAGACTGGGGACCAATTTACCTTCTCTCCCTGAGCATTCATAGGTCTGCATTTACATCTTTATATCTGTATGGACTTAGATACAAATATATAGATATATAGACAGCTGCCAGAGGAGCTCGTCATGAGTAGGATTGCAGAATGTCCCAGGACAGGCGGTGACAGAGCCGCTGACATCAGACCACCTTCCCTTGTCTGTTTCTGAGCACTGCGGACATTGCAGAACTGTCCGTCTTTGCCCCTCAACAGTGATACAATTACTGTGCAGTTGCTTTTCTTTCCGTATTTTGTCAGCATTGGTCTCTCTTGGCACCAGCATTTTTGAAGTTTTTCTGTTAATTAATTGTGTAACATTATTATTTTTATCAATAAGCATCTTGTCCTATTTTGACTTTGAAAGAAAACATTCAGTAACTTTGTTTTTTAAGACTTGACTGAAAATGCAGTTCTGCCTCAGTTCAATATAGGGGGCATGCAGGTTGTCAGTGGCTGGCTTTAGGAGACAGACTAAGATGAATCAGATTGTTTGAGCACAGTTTCATGTTCTGCTGCAAGGAATGTGTCCTTTTCTGGAGTCAACAAATACTTTAGAGATCACTGAAACCAAACTCCTCTCTCCTCTTCCCCCTTCTACTGCATGAGCACTGACGGGCAGGACAGTGGAGTTGTTTTCCCAACTCACGGTCTTGCTTCTTCGTGGGGGGATGAATCATGACTACTTTCAGTGTATGTGCTGGTCATTCTCATCTGATATACCTTGGACTTGGGCCATTTATTTACATTTTTTTTCTAATTTATTTATTTTTTATCTTCACCAGAGGACATTTTTCCATTTTTTGTTCAGATAGAGAAGGAGGGAGAGAGAGAAATATCGGCATGAAGGGGACACATCGAGTGGCTGCCACTTACACAACCCAACGAGGGCCGGGGACAAACTGCAACCGAGGCACATGCCCTTAGTGGGAACCAAACCCAGGTCTCTCTGGACCACAGGCTGATGCTCTAACTGCTGAGCCAAACTGGCCAGGGCCATTTTTTTTCTTTCATTGATTTTAGAAAGCGAGGAAGTGAGAGGGTGAAAGTGATAGAAACATCAATGCGAGAAAAGATCGATCGGCCGCCTCCTGCATGCCCCCCACTGGGGATCAGGCCCACAACCTGGGCATGCGTCCTGACCGGGAATCGAACTGGCGACCTCCTGGTGCAGGGATGATGCTTGACCACTGAGCCACACCGGGCAGACATTTCTTTACTTCTTAAACTGGTTTTCTCATGTGTAAGATGGAGGAGGTGGGGGAGAGGAAACCACATGTCTATGTTGGGTTCCTTTCCACCCTGAGAATCTAGGAAAAGTAATGATGATACTATGCGGGAAAGATGCTCAGATGACAGAGGTTTCAGGGCCTCCTGTGTCCTCCTTTCTTCAGTTGTAAGTAAATAAATGTGTGGAATTAAGTTCTATTCCCACTGTAGCGCATGTTTTAGCCTCAGGTATTAGATGGACGCCTGAGGCCTGGCAGGGTGAGCCTTGGCGGTTTGATGGCCATTCCGCTGTAACGGGCCTGCCACAGGAGAGGTGGTTTCGCTGCCTTTTATGTTTATTGTTATTTGTTTGCTGATGTAAAACTGAGCCCCAGATAGTGAGGTGACTTGTCCAAGCTTGTCATTAACAGACAGGGGTTTCACACACAGCTCTCTCGGTTACTAAATCCGAATTCCTCTCCTCTCTCCTTGCTTCCCATCAGTACCTGCTGTGGCCAAACATGTCCTCCCTCCCTGATTCAAGTGTCTTCATCTCTGCATGTTCTTTTCTTGGAGGCCTTCACAGATATTTTTGGTAAATAGAAGTAGCACGGAGAATAACATAAATAAATAAATAAATAAATAAATAAATAAATAAATAAATAAATAAATAAATAAACATTAAAGAAAGAAAGTTCTTGGAGGTCCTAATGAAATGCACAATTCCATCTTTGAAAATTGCGTTTACAGCAGCTCTCTGTGTGGGACTTATTCCCCCCCGGGGACCTAGTTTTTCGGAGGTCATCTTCCAGGGCAGCGTTTCTCCTGCAGAGGAGGGTGTGTCAGCAGAGGGAAGGACGGCTTGGGAGGGGTAACATCCTGGGTCCCAGTGTTTGCTTAGTCACTTGCTAGCTGTGTGATCCTGAGCAAGGTGCCTAAGCCTCCCCTGCATGTCCCTCTTTCTGTGGTGGCGGGTTGACGCCCTTCTGATTGAAGTAACAAAGATTGTAAATGTGAAATGGGCGTTAACTGCTTAGCACACAGCCTATGGAGTGCGGCTCCACACTGTAGCTCATGTGATTACTGACCTCCCCCTTGACCCCAAGCGGAGCTCTGCCAGGAGCAAAGCCACTGTGCCCACACCCTCGGGTCCGCACAGCACCCAGGCCTTGGGTGACGGTGGGTGACAGTGGGTGACTCAGGGTCGCGCCACACTGTTTGCATGAGCCGCTTTTTTTCAGTAGGATTCTTTTTTTTTTCCATTATCTCTATTTATCTTAATACTTCAGAAAGTTACTAATTAACTTTTTAATTGTCTTTTATATAATCCTACTAGTTTAGAAACAGCATTCATTTAATTATTAACAGGTTAGCATATTCATTTCTGTGATGTATTCATTTTCGTTTATTTTTAATTGAATTTATGGAGGTTACATTGGTTAATAGAATTACGTCGGTTTCAGTGTGCAGTTCTATAATACATCACCTGTATACAGCATTGTGTGTTCACCTCCCGAAGCCTGGTCTCTCTATTTACCTCCCTGTTCACCCTCCTCAACCTTCCCCCATACCCCTTCCTCTGGGAATCTCCATACTGTTGTCTGTCTATAAGGTGTTTGTTTGTTTTTAATTAATTAAGTAATTTATTTATTTATTCATTTTTGTTACAGATGTTTCTCCTTTTCCCGCAGATACCCTCCTCCCTATCCCCACGCCCACCCAGCATTGTGATCTATGTCCTTTGGTTAAGCGGACATGCGTCTAAGTTCTTTGGTTTATCTCATCCCCGCGCCCCCTTCTGATTGGGATCCTTTTGGAGCTTGTTTCTCACCCTTCCTTCCTCGGTTGTGTTTCCGGGCAGAGGACAAGATCTGGACCTCGGTGCAGCACAACCACACGGAGCTGACGCACGTGCAGGGGGCCAGCCCCGAGCAGCCCTACGCGGAGGCCCTGGACTACGGGGGCAGCGCGGAGCAGCTGGCGGCGGTGATCGACGGCTCGGAGCACTGCGAGCAGGAGGTGGCCTACTACTGCAGAAGGTCGCGCCTGCTCAACACCCCAGGTAGGCCTCCCGGCCCCTCCAATCGCCAGGCCCGGCGGAGTGACCACAGGTGGCCCGCGCGCTCCGCCAACCTGGGAGGTCAAGGAGACGCGTGTCTGCCGAAGGGGGGTGACAGCTGCAGCTGTGCACTGAGCGCTGGAGGGATCCCAGGAGGGGCTGGAGGTGGATCTGCTGGCCAGGGTGTGCCGGGGGGAGGTCATTGCCCCTTAAGGTTTCTCCTCGTCTTTAAAGGGGGGTGATGACCTCATCCAACGTGCAACAGCCTGGCGGTGCAAAGTGCCGAGAGCAAAGGCCCTTGAACAGAGCACTCGAGCGAGGCCTCCAGGCGGTGGAGGTGGGACGTTTCTGGCGCAGAGAATAGCCCCGAGACGGCAGTGGGGTTTCTGCAGGCTCACCCAAGAGCAGAGAGCGCCCTCTGGGCCCAGACAGCGGGGAGCCGACCGGCAGTGAGGCCCCAGGGCGCGCAGGGCCGGTCCTGGGTGCTAAGTGCCAGCTAAAGTGAAGTGAGGGCTTCATGGCGATTGATTTCATTAAAATTAAAATTGCTTTTAGAAAAAATTAAATTAGACCTATTTTTTAATCTTTTCCTATGGCTATTATTTTTTTAAGTGAATGGTTGATTTAGTTATTAACATGTTTGTAAGAACAAACAACAAAATCAAGCAAACAGAAACCTTCCAGGACTGCTTACAACACCACTCAGGGGTTCTGCGAAATGTCAGGTGGGCTTGGGCAATGATTTTGCGCGCCCTGGGAATCAGCCGTTTTTGTCAATATTATTGGTTCATTGTTTGTTTCGTGGCAGGAAAAAGGCTGTCCACCACAGGGGTGCAGGGTGCCCAAGAGAGGGTTTCAGAATCCTTAACTCCCAGTAATTTACACCCCGGTGCGTGGAAGTTAGGACTTGTGCAAGACGAGAGAGCTAGACACTGAATGACGAAAAGGAGAAGGTACAGATATGCCTCACTAAGTGCAACACTCAGCCTCGCTGATCTAGAATCTTCAGGGAAGCTCTGTTCCACCTAAGTGAATTTTCCAGATAACTGTCACTTATCCTTTAAGCACCAAAAATCTTTTGGAAGAATTTCTAACTATTTGAAATGAAAATCTTTTTTCAAATGGATTACACGCTTCCTTGCCTTCTCAAATAGATAATTCTGAATGTAAAATGTAACCTTTTCTTGATGACTCAGTATCATCACTGCAAAATCAGTTGTTTTACTGGCCATGCTTGCAGGGTGATGAGATCCGAGGGGGCCCCTCTCCCAGGTCCTCAGTGGGTGCTGCCTGGAGAGGGTCAATGTTTCCATTCCTTTGAGTTGCTCTCTCTTCGGGCTTCCAAGCCTGCACAGATCACTCTCAGCACTATTTGCAAAATGCCTGTGTCTCAGAAACCCCCTTACCCTCATTTTATGGTGGGGTTGGCAGTTTTGTCTGGATTAGGTTTGGTGGGATTTAGGAAAAATGTGTCTGTTTATTGTGATTATGGGATTTCCTTCCGTCTCTGCACTCTGTGATGTCCATTTGGCGACACCGTTGCCTTTGCACATGTTTCGTTTTTCTAAGGTTATTGCTTTCATTGTATAGGGATGTTTGAGCAGGAGGGACATGGATTTGGGAGCAGGCCATACATAGTGAGACTGAGATCTGGACTCTCTCTGCCTCTTACCGGTCATGTGACATTGTGCACGGCACCAGGTTTCCACCATTCCACCCCCTGAAACATTTACACGAGACTCCTGAACTAAAAGGGCCAGTAGGAAGATGAAGAAAAATGTAGCCATGCCCCTGCACCGTGCCCAACACAGTGGGGGGCCACCAAACCCGGGCGCCCTGATTCTTTCCTTGCTCACAGCTTCTAGCCTGCGGCAAAGGTCCCAAGTGTGTGCCATGATGGGACACAAGCTGAAGGGGCACTTTGTTTCTATGTTTAAAGTGTAAATAGAATAATTGTAATGATCGTAACTCATGCAAGAAATAATCTCATCCCCAGAGAAGATGAGTGTTGTATTTCGGTGTGTATCCGTCCAGACGTGTCACCACCTGGATATTCACAGAAGCACCGTGAGCACACACTATATGCATGTTGAGGTTCAGAGGTACCCACTGATCCTTATGTCCCCCATTGCTCTGCATCAAAGAAGGTGGAGGAAGGCGGACAATGGGCATGCGCACACCATGTCTGCTCTCTCCTGGCGAGGTGGCTTGAGAAACACAGCTGGATTGGAGGCTAAGGGGGCCTCCTCACCCCTCCGCCTGCACCTGCAGAGGCTGTGGCACTGGGTGAGGTGCATGCTGACGGAGAGCCTCACACCCCTCCATGCATAGACAGAGCACCTACACCTGACCCGGGTGTGCTCAACTCATGGGCGTGGGGGGGCAGGCAAAACTGTGCCCATGAGTCCCACGGCCAGTGCCCAGGGCACCTCCTCGCTGGGGCTCACATAACCAAACACCGCAGACCAGCTGGTTCCTAACACACTAAATATATGTCTGACAGATCTGGAGAAGTCCATGATCCGCGTCCCAGCAGGGTTGGTTCTGGGCAGGGACCTCTCCAGGTCCCATCCAGCTCACTTTCCCTCATGTCCTCACATGGCAGAAAGGGACAGGCCCCCACTAACCCTATTCATGGGAGCTCTACCACCTCCCCAATACCCCCACTTCCTAAGACAGTCACACGGGGGTGGGTTTCAACCCTACTAATAGATTTGAGGGGGGGGCACAGGCATTTAGCTCTTAATAGGCACATACATGCAGGGGTATTTTCCTATTCTCCCTGGTGATAAAGCATGGGGCAGCTGGGGAGCAGAGGAGAGCGGTCTGCCCATCTAGAAGAGCTGAGCAAGAGTCTCCCTACCTGCTGAAGCAGGGCCCTGTGACATTATTTCACTCCCGGTATCTGTCTCAGACACACACACGCACACAATGCACAAATATCATTCCATATCAATAAATATAACTTTATGCCAATTGTCCATTAACCACAGTCTTTCATTATATGGAGGTACCACAATGGACATACACAATTAATAAATCCTGTAGTTTGGACATTTAGATTGTTTCCAATTTTTTACTATTACAAATGTTGCAAGAATATATTTACCCATAGATTTTTGTGAGCAAAGCTGATTATATTTATTTATTTATTTTCTTTTTTTCTTTCTTTTTTTTTTAGAGAGAGAGAGGAAGGGAGAGAAAGATAGAAATAGCCATGTGAGAGAGACATCAATTGGCTGCCTCCTGCACACCCCCTACTGAGGATCGAGCCTGCAACCTGGGCATGTGCCCTGACCAGGAATTGAACCGGGACCTCTAGGTTCACGGGACGATGCTCAATCCACAGAGCCATACCAGCCGGGCATACTGACTATATTTTTAAATAAATTCTTTGGATTGTAATTGTCAGGGCAAAGCGTGTGCACATGTGTAAGTGTTTTGCCACATCGCCTGATACAATGTAGCGAGGCTATGCCAAGCACACTGCCAGGGATGCTGTGGGAGTGAGTGCCCACTTCCCCACAATAGGTGTCACCACCTTGCTTTAACGTGGGCAATCTGATACATGCAGAGGAGGCCTAAAAACAGTTGTACACATTGGTGTTCATTGAAAGCATGTGGGGGCTGGCTCCCACAGCTTACTGGAGGTAGGCCCTACCTGTAGCCAGGGTTAGCAGAAGCTATAAAATATTATAAGTTGTGGCTGCAGTGGGCTCAGATGACTAAGAGAATGTGGAGGATGATGCCTTGCTGTAGATTCTCCTACATACTGTCCACACCAGATACCAAAGAGGGGGGATACCAAAGAGGGGGGATACCAAAGAGGGGGAATCGAGAAGGCGGGATGAGAGGAAAGTGAGTAACTCCGATGGCCACCAGGACTGAGGATGGCTAATGCTGAGAAGATGGTGAGGTGCTGCGGGAGCAAGGCCTCTAGTCCACAGACCTGCTCTGGCCGGGAGGGTTGCTGTCCCCACCTGGCGCTGCAGAGCAAGGAGCCTCAGAGAAAACCAGGCACTTAGTTAACGGACGCAACTGGGCAGGGGCAGGGCTGGTTCTTGAACTCAGCTGGGCCTGCAGTTGACCCAGGAATGCCGTGTCTGAGACATACGACTGTGGGAAAGTTCCAGCCCAAAGCGAGAAGAAGTGGAGTAGTCCGGGAAGATGGAGTTCGTAGGGTTTCTCGTGTTCTGTAAGAAAGTGTGGATAAGAGAGCAATGAGCAGCCAGAGCCGCCTCTCCCACGGCTGTGCAGCTGCCTGGGTGCCCTTGCTGGATGCGGCGGCTTCCATGCTTGTGGGCCCCTCCACCTGTGTCCTCAGGGCTGCCTCTGTCATTCTTGGCTGGGCGCTGGGGTCATTCCTCTAGCAGCAGCACCAGGAGACACAGACAGTACACAGATCGGGTAAGGTCGGGCCTCGTTCGCCACTGTGTCGTTCTAAATGAGTTACTAATGCAACCATGACACTGTCCTGTTTGGAAAGTGCCTCTGATGGTCTTCCCCCAGCCTGCTGATAAGTGCCAGTCAGTGGAATATGCCATCTGTCAGATTAACTAAAGAATTATACTCATAACTCTCAGAAGGGATGGATTCGAAGCCTTCGGAGCCCACTGCAAAGGTGCCTTTGCTACCCGGCATGTCGTGGCTGTCCTCGCTGCACCGGCTGCGTGCGGGGTCTGCGGCCAGCTTCCGAGCAGCTGGCACGAGCCTGCACGTGCTCAGAGGCGTCCTGTCACAGGCTGCCCGGTGGAGCCCAGGCCTCCCTCACTGCCCGCGGCTCTGGGGGATTGTCGCCTGAGGCAGAGTTCCTGAATGCTTCAGGTTATGAACATTGAAATAAAACAGACCCCAGTGAGGGAACACCAGCAGCAGGCAGAAGCGGGGACATTGAGCCCGCAGTCTGGAAGATGCTGTCCTCACATGGCCCATTTTCTCTTTCGCCCTGTGCTGGCTGAAGGGAGAGACGACTGAAAGGGTAGGAAGGGGACTGCCCTGGGGAG